AAATGGTCAAAAGTTTGATCTAAATATTCAAGTTGATGATGCTTGAATTAAGCTTGGTGGAGCCTATATTTTGGGCTAACTATACCGCGCAACACTAAATGTTAGCAAAAAAATTTATTGAATATATTTCATTCCAATATCTTTGATGCATATATCACTCTTCAAATTTATTTTAGATTAAGTGATCAAAAGCCAAAAAAATCTTTATTTTACAACATGATATTAAGTGATCAAAAGCCAAAAATATTTATTTACACGCTTAGTTCTATAGTTATAGGTTAAGGTTAAAACAAAAAGATGGAAGGAAAAAACAAAAACAATAAGTATCACAGAATTAGAATAATTAAAAACAACGTATGGAACGAAAAATGACGGTTAAAGCAAAATAAGGAAACAAAAAAATACATATAAAACTATAAAAGTGAAGTTTGGAAATTAGGAAAAAAAGGCAAAACTAATTTGTAAAATTCAAATTAGGAGGGTGCATGAATGGGAGATAATCCAGGGATTCTAAAAGGAAATAGAAATTCCCTTAACAATCTTAACTAATATCCAAATTACTTTATTCACTTCTCATTTACCCCCTAATCCCCTCCCTTATTTACCAAACACAAATAATTTACTTCCAAAAATTCTCAATCACAATTCACAATTCACAATTCACAATCAGCCATGGCAAATATTGATCATCGTCTTCTTCTTCTGTCTGAGAAACCCATCTCCTTACTCCAAGAAAATGAAATTTTCGTCAACAAAATTCTCTCCAGAAACTCCTCCTTCGGCCGCTCTGCCCGTCTCGCCGCCTGCCGCCTGCCCGGCCAAGTCCCCTTCAACTGGGAGACACAGCCCGGACTGCCCAAACTCCAAACCCCAGATCAAAATCTCCCGCCGGCGATCGCCCTCCCGCCGCCGGCGCCCTCCGCCGAGCACCTCCACGTAGTCCCCAAGCCGCCGCAGCAGCAGCAGGAGCCGGTTCGGGTTTGGTTCTGGAAGAAACCGAAGAGAAAGGCCGTGAGGCATAACAATAACGCCGTCCCCAAGAAAAACGGTGCGTTCGACTCATCGTCCAGACGACGAGTCGATCGCGAGAGTGATCAGTTATGTAAAAAATCAAACGACGAGTCGTCCACATCGTCTTGCATTTCTTACTCTTTATCCTCCAGCTCTTCTTCGGCCTCCTCTAATGGTTATGGCCGACGCCGCTCCAAACTCGGCCGCCTCGCCAAGGGCTTCGTAAGGTGGGCCTTCTGAAAGAGTTCTTGCATTTTTTTTCCTTTTCCTTTTTGTGACAATTTTCGTCTAAAAGTTTTATTTCGCGTACGTTTATTCAGTATCAGAATAAGCTCTCATTTGTAGCTGTATGGTTAAGTAATTAATTTAGGTTTTTTTCAATTGGGAATTTTGTCCACTGGTTTTCGTATTTGTGCATCTTAGCTTTTACGGATCTAATTAATATAATGTTGTTTTTTTTTTAAATTTTAAATCATAATTATTTACATAAAGTGAGGAGGGTTGTAATAGGAAATTTTTTTTTCCTTTATTTAACTTTTGAATTTTGTTAGGGTTGATTTTCGTAGTTGTGTTGAGTATCTGGTTTGATTAGTTTAGAGAATTTCGGTGTTGAATTGTTAGTCGTTTGGTTGTGTTTCAACAGTTTTTTAGTATTATATTCTACTCATCTGAATTTAAGGAGGAAAAAAAAATCAATTTTTATCTTCAATAATATGTACTTTTAAATGGTGTTACAATTTTTATATAATTAATTCCGATTGAGAGCAAATCACCCTTTAAAAGAGCTTTGAAATTATTATTAATGAGATCAAATCACCTCTTAAGAGAGCTTTGAAATTATTGTTATTATTATTAGTCTTTTATGAGGTCTAATGAGTGGAAACCCACCCCGAATTTCAAAAGCTATTATATTGTTACTAATTATTTACTATATTGGAATGATATAAGAAAATGCATGGGAGTAATAATATGTTTTAATTAGGGTCTTTTTACATTCTTTAAATGTCCATATGATTAATGATATATTATATCAAAATATATATCTATAGATTTTTATCGCTATAAACTTTTTAGAAAAAGTTTTTTTTAAGTACAACAAAAAATTTAGCTTTCAATTTATGTGTTCTTTATCTATTTTTACTTTCTTTTTATCTTAATATTTATGATGATCATACGAGAAATAACCTTCTTTCATTATTATAGAGATGAGATGAGAGAAGAGATCAATGGAAGTAGACTCTTCCAGTTTTTGCTTCTATCAGTGTCCCAAAATTTTTTGATTTTTTGTTACTTGAGTTGAGTAACAAAGACTTATATATAACATTGTGATATTTATTCTTAGTTATTATTTTAATATATAAAATTGGTTTTTCTTTTAAGTTCAAATAAGGAACGATGTATAAATAAGATCATTTAGGTCTACTTTAGTTTTTCTTTCTGACAGAAGTAATTATTTTGTTTTGGTTAAATTATAAGTTTACAAGATATTAAATTTAAGGGTTGCGTCCAATCATTAATATATATGTTTTAGTACAACATATAAGGTAGAAATTCGAACTTCGTACATTTTGGTCGGACATAGGTACCTTAACCTCAAGTTGGCCAATAATAGATATTTGAACATTAAAAAAATGTCATCTATGAAGTTTAAAAATGTAGACCTTTTAAACACGAAAGATTGAAAGTTTAGATATCTAAGACATGTTTGAGAGTGATTTTAGCTTTTGGCATGACTAGAATCACTATTACTCGTGCCAAAACCATTTCCATTTTAAAATAAAATGTTTTGCAAGAATTCAAAAGTATTAAAGTTTCAGTCTCCTGCTCTATAAGATCTCTCTCTTACATTTTTGTCAAATTCTATCTTTCATTTTTAATTATATAAAACTCACCTGAAAAGTGTAACCAAATATTTTAAATAATTAGATAAAAGCTACTTTCACAAAATCAATTATCATCGAATCTATTTTTCTAAAAATCAATGTCAAACAGGCAGCTAGTTTGACCCATTAAACACTTTTTTAGGCAAAGAGTTTAACCTACCTTCTAATTTAAACATTAGAAAAAATTTCTTAACATATATATATATATGTTTTAGTTAAAATACTTGTGTTTTGTTACCTTTTCTTAGGAGTGGGTTTGGTCTATTTTGGTTTCAAAAGTGATTTTACATATACCAAACTAAAGTTACTTACTTTTAACAGAGAATCAATTTTTTTTTAATATCTATGAGTATCCGAACTAGCTTACGTGCGTCTCGTCTCGACTAACTAATCTCACAGATAGGTGAGGTTTAAATTCATTCTCTCTTAATTAACACTAGTCTCTTTGGATCGATGAGTCGCCTATGATAGTTTACTGAGAATCAACTTTAAAAAATGATTTTTTCAAAAAGATAATTTTAGACCAATGTGATTATTTTAAAAGTAACTTATTTATCACCAAAACATTATATTTTACAACAAACCACTCTTTCTTCTCCAAAATTACTTAAATGTTTAATCCAAACACATCTAAAGTACTATATAGACTTGATAGTTTAACTAAATATTTAAAGTGACGACTCTCTCACTATAATCTTTATAAAAATTAATAATTAAGTTGGACGTAAAATATGTTTTATTATCATTCGTTTTAAGTTATCTTTATCCAATAGTAAAGATCATGACGGTCACAATAAACTAAGATAAAATTGGTTGAAAATAAAATACCACACATTGTGATTTTGTAAAGTCAAAATAGTGTGACATATTGCATTAAATATAATTTGAGACTACATTATCAAGTGACATTTCTTAAGCGGTAAATTTATACGTAGTTCAATTGGTTAAAATATATATTCTCAACGTGAGCTTCAAGTCTCATCCCGTTCATGAATTATAGTTTTAGTTAAAATTTTGAGACATTCACATAAATAACATCAAATAAATATATGTTTAAGATTAAATTTAAAAATGGTCAAATCAATCGATTTAATAAATAAAACACTCCCAATCAAAATAATAGATCAAACATAAAAATCTGAGTTTGAATGTCCAATTAGCCACAAATCTTCCCCAAAATGAAAGTTTAATGACATTTAAAACAATTTCCCTATTGGGCAAGTATCAAGGGTAAAAAGGTAATTCAAAAAAGATATCTGTTATTGAAAAATAAATTAAATAAATGTCAAAGAAATGGCGGGAGGGAAGCTGAACTGGTATTTCTAGGTTTTAACAGAAGAAAATTTCATTCCGAAGACTGCACTTCAGTTCGCTCTCGATCAGTCATTTGATGCTCTTATAGTGGAAGAATGATGTATGGAAGTCAATTCGATGGCAACGCTGCCTTCTCCGGTGGCGGATTCATGCCATCTCAGACCACCCAGGCCCCTGATCATTCCTTATCTCCGGCGAAAGTACGTTCTGTTTCGAGATATAGTATTAGCTCTCTTTCAGCTTCCTTTTAATTGCGTATAGATTCATAATTTCCGCTATTTGTATTTATCACATACGTTTGATGTATTTTCTGACCGAATTCGTCACAGTGGTTTGAAATGATTCAAACTTTTATAGTTAATTTGGTGGATAATGGATATATTATTTGGATTTGATGTTTGGTTCATATAATTGAAGTATGTTTGGTATGATGGTATTTTTGCCCTTACGTTTTCCGCGGACGATAGTTCCTTCTCCTTGCGGTTGCCGGAAAAATTAAGTTTGTATTTGTATGTCTTCGTCTATTGGAAAAATACGAAAGGACCTTCATGCCTTTTATGTCGTGAGTTATTTAACACTTGGTTTCACATGTTTTCACCTTTTGTATCTCCTTTAGAAAGCGTGTTCTCGACATAATGAGGCCTTATATTTTTCGTGTCTGATTTGCAGAATAGAGATGTCCAAGCGTTGCTTCCATTAACGGTGAAGCAGATAAATGATGCATTCCTGTCTAATGATGATAAATCAAGCTTTGTCATTAATGGTGTTGATGTTAATAATGTTAGTTATTGATACTCGTATTTTTTTAGTTATTATTTTCTTATAAATTTTATAAATTTGTTGAGTTGCTTGTTATTGATACTCGTGTTAATAATGTTAGTTATTGATACTCCTATTTTTTTCAGGTTAAGCTTGTAGGGATGGTGAGCAATAGAGCAGGAAGAATTACTGATGTGACTTTTGCACTGGACGATGGCACAGGACGGATTGACTGTAGCAAATGGTTTGATTTTCTCACTCTCTCCCCCTTCTAAGATGAGAAAGAAGTTGAGCTTTTGTTCCCTTGTTAATATAGATTTTGTTTCGATGTATTCATAGGGTCAATGAAGCAGCAGATTCAAATGAAGTTGAGGGAATATTGTAATGTTCCTTTTACCCTGTCTCAATAACATTTAAAATATTCCCCCAATATTATAATGTCCTTTGTGCCATTATAATTTAAAGTTTTCATAATTGGGTTTTCATTCCTTCATTTCCTAGAATATGTCGGTAATTCGGATGGAACTTTGAAACTTGACATGTTCTGTGTGCCATAGCATGTTGTAGACATGGAGGTTGATGAGTGTTCTATGGTTTTAAGCTTTCTTTTACAGTTTTACTCATTTGGGGAATTCTATTATTTACTCATAGTGAAATGAGATCCTCTCTGTCGGGTGAAAAAATTGCAAACTAGCTGTTTTGGTTTAAGCTATAGCTGAACACAGTGATTCTGCATACATAACAGGATTCAAGAAATATGATTATTGTAGCTAAAGTACACATTCACTCTGTAACGTGTATAGAGCTTTACGAGCATGCCTGTGAGGCTATGACTAAACCAGCAGTCTTATTTTTAATATATATATGTAATTCATTGTTCTGTCTTATACCATAGATGTTTTCTTTTTTTCCTCTAGCCATGCTATGATTAAGTCTAATTTGCTTTTTCCAGCAAAGTGAACTACAAACCTGTAGTCCATGCTGCTGTAGAGTATACCAATGCCTCATATTTGTCTCAATTCTATTGACATGGCGAGTTTTGATGGAAAATGGAGTGTACCTGTTTTCTTTTTTGATCAGATACCCATTGTATATCACAATTTAAACAAATTATTCATAATGAGGACTTGATCATAATAAGAACTTGATCATAATAAGAACTTGATCATAATAAGAACTTGATCATCTAGTGTTATTGAACAGGTATATGTAAATTGTTGGATTGAACCTGTTATACTTGTATGTATCTAGCATTTTATGGACCCTATTTTCCCCTCGTTTTACTCTCTCCAAATGTGAACTTGCAGTTCAGTTGACCAATATTAGACTAACGAGACATTTTGTGTATCATACATGAACCTCGCACATAAAGAATGAGAGATTGCTGGAATCATGTTCACGTCCGTAAGATATCCATCAAGTTGCAAATGTTGCAATTATTGTACATTGAAATATCTCTTGTGGTTCTTCTGGATTATAGCCAGTGTGTGACTTGAATTAAGATCTCGAGGGTTTTGGATCATTTGGGATAACTATTTGTACTAAGTGATGCATTGAGTCATCTCTCATAATCTAGACCTATTTATCTCTATCATTTAAATAAAATCCTCATGCTGCAGGGATGGCATGTATGTTCGGGTCCATGGCCACTTGAAAAGCTTTCAGGGTAAAACAACTTTAAATGTCTTTTCTATCAGGTACAAGTATACCTTTCCCTTGGATTTTTTGGAGGATGGTTTTGTTACTCCTGATGAAACTCTAACTGCATCAATGCACTTCCTGAATTATACTGAATTTGAGTTTATGGTTATATTTTTTGAAATTGAGTTATGGTGAGCCACATTGTTAACTAACAATTTAATTATGATTTTCTGTTACTGAAAGTTTGATTATTTGTAACTAAATCATTCGTGAGCAGTTCTTTTCTACCTCAAAATTTCCCTGTGGTGCTTGTTCTCTGTTACTTGTGTACTTGATATCTATAACGTTGCTGCATTGGAGTTTTGACATACAATATTTGGCTTGCAGGTCTGTTACCGACTATAATGAGATCACAAGTCACTTCATAGAATGCATATATGTTCATTTCTACAACACCAGGTTACGGGTATTGATCAAGCTCTTTCAAAATTTACTCGATGTTTTGATTAAGTGTGAAGTAATATTTGATTGTCATACTATGCTTCTCTTTTTGGATTATGTCTAATTTGTGTTGATAGAAACAACATAGTAGTATGACTACTCGGCCACAAATGACAAATTTATCTAATTCGCCTATGAAAGGATATCAAGCTGCCTCTTCAAATCAAGTAAGACCCTGTCGCAATTCACATTTCATAAGCTATCGCTTGTATATGCATCCTTCTGATGATCTTTTTCAGTACTCTGGTCAAGTAGGAGGTGGTGATCGTTGGAAAAGCCTTGAGCAGATGGTCTTAGATTTTTTGCAACTTCCTTCATGCGAGTGAGTGCCTTTTTCACGTTTCATACTTCCCATTTGTATTTCCATGCTTGTTTGTCTTGAACTTGTTATCTTGTCAGATCAGATGTTGTTATAAGAGAAATCATTTTATAAGTTTTTTGGTTTTCGTGACCTTGATCAATGCCTGTGTCTTTCTTTCTTTCTCCCTTCCCTTTTTTTTCCCTTAGTGAAACTTGATCTCTATAGCTTGGTAAACATTTATTATTAGGGTAGTTGAATTGCTGAAGCACCAATAGAAAAAGTTTGTCCCAAGATGGGATTTATTGAGAGAATGTGTGGTCCCGATCTACTTAATTTGTTTTTTGCTTTTTCAGGAGTATAGGGGCTGGATATCTAACTAAGTATTTAATGGTGTACAGAATTAAAAATATTTGACTCACTACAAGCAACCATCTATAGTGAAAAGCTTTATATTTTGAATGATGCATGAGTTATGTTCGATTGACAAGAGAATATTTTGTCAATATGGACTCTCAATATATTAAGCAAGGGTTACAATGATTTGACCATTATTTAGTTTATTTATTATGTTTCCTTTGTGCTTGGGTTCATTTTGTGCGTGTGTTTCCTTTGGAGCAAAATAAATGACATGAAATGTTATTTACCAAGCAGCTGACATGATATAAGGTATGGCTGATCCATATTTTCGAAGTATAGCCTCTTTCTGAATTTTACTACTGTTCTGTGCTCCTTCACTATTTTCTTCCCCGGCTCATCTATTTCTTAGGTTCAATTTAACCTTAGGACTTATGCATTCACTTTTCTTTTGTTTCAGTACTGAGAGGGGGGCACACCGTGATGTCATTGCACAAAATCTCAATGTTCCAATGGAAAAGCTCATGTATTACTCTCTTCCTTTCGCTTTTACTTGACAGAAGCACTTTGATAGGTCTCAGGTGACCTATCTCTAAGATTCAATAACAAGAGAAAGATAAACAGCAAAGACAATTCCCTACCACTTAAAAAGGCCAGGCACTCTCCTCTTAGAACAAGTCTAAGCCTAACAAAATACCAGCCTAAGAAAATAGAAACTTCCATGCCCAACCTTTCAAAGGACCCCTCCCCAGAACGGTCTATGGCCGTACCAACCTTTTACAAAAATGGGGGCCCCACTCTCACCCTGCACTCCCATGTCTAACTAATTTCTGTCTGACTCATTTTCTTTCATGCGTATGTGAAGTGTACGGGTTCTTTGCCTCTGTCACCCTTGTCTTGCAAGTATAGGTTTAACTAAATATACCGTTTTGGTTGTTATTTTGCAGCCCAGCAATGAAAAATCTTGAAGAGGAAGGCCTAATCTACTCAACAACTGATGATTACCACTTCAAATCAACTGCCAATGGTTGACGTCTCTATTATGTTTGTAACTAATGAATTCAAGGCAAGTTTAATTCCTGCCGTCCTTTTCATATGGTTTAAGTTGGGAAAATCTTTGTAGTCAAAATATGATCCGTCTGTTTTAGCCTTTACTATGTGACCTGCCAAGCGAACAGAGGAAAAAAAGGAGAGAACAAATGGTCCCACGGCTATGGCTTGTTAAAACTATTATAATGACATTTGTTTCTATTGTGCAACATTTTTTAAACGAACTAATATAATGCTCAGCACAGATGCAGCCTACAGAGGTGATTTTGGCTGATTCTCAGGATCTTATGGTATGTTCTTTCTAATCCACAAAAAACTGTAGCTTACTTTTGTTTTGGGGATGTTAGAAGCTAAAGCCTTGTTTATTTTTACATGCATTACCGACCAACTCAAAACTTCAACCAAAATCTTTTATCTTTTGTGCCTTCAAAAACTGTCTCTGCTGAATCTTAGATATTATTTTTTGGTAGGGTTTAAAATATGGGTTCTTTACTTTGAAAAACATGGAATCCTATAACAAATTAGCAGGAAGTTGATCTTTTTAATTTACCTCAAGATATAATATATGAATCAGAAAAGTTAAAAAGAGTTTATCAACAACCTACCCCCATAAAATGTAATCACAAGTAACTTTAATCAGTTGATTTAGAATAAAAATCATTCAACGAGGCCCCGCCCCACATTGCTAAGAAGCTGTATGTAGGGGAAAAGAAAAATCTAAAGTAAGAAACCAAAGATTCAGATAATGATTTATATTCTTTACAAAAACATGGAATAAAATACATTAAAAAGGCATGTGAAAATGGATCATAAACAAATAGGAAGCCAGTAACGTGAGGAATCATTCCATCCACAAAATCCCCATAACTTTGTATACTTATTTTGACCGTAAGACATTATCATCCCAAGTTCCCATTATCTTCCCCTTATCTCTCTGAAATTTAGTTTCAGGTTCACATTACTAATAATGAAAAGGGGAATCAGAAAGCAAATTCAAACAAAGCCCCGCCGAATTCTCTGCCAATGCCCTTTTTCTATTCTCTTTTGGTACACACAAAAAGACAGCCTCTCCATTTAAAGCCCCTTCGCCCGATTTGATATGTTCATAATTCATACTATATTATATTGAATTGATGCTTTAAATTAAAGGGATTCTCTTCTCATCCAAATTCACTCTTTAATCCTTTCATGCATCTTTCTTCTTTTAGACTACCATTCTGTACTGAATAATTCAGTTTTGCCTCCACGTTTCACATCTCACTTGTTCTTTTTTACTTTAAAAAACCATCACCTCCATCTATTTTTCATGCTCCATTTATTGGACTCATATTCTTTAAAAAATGAACCATGTCGGCCAATATTGTATATTCTTGTTATAGTATTCTTTACCTGTTATATGTATTATATTTTTAAAATTTCCTCTGTTAATGTAACGTAATTTTGTGATATTTCGGACTAGGTGTACAAAATAGACTTCTACTTAGCACAGGTATGGTATGGCTTTTGAAATTGGGTATCCTCCTTAGAGCATGATCATATCATTTTAAGCCTTATTATAATGGTTTATTTCAGAATAAGCTGCTTGGTGCTATTACAACTAGCGATTGTTGAATTAAACCAGTAAAATCAATGATTTTAGATAAATGATGGATATTTCTCTTTTCATTTAATTTAATCACATCTGGCATTTTTTTGGCCGTTTTGAGATTGTCTAATAATATCTCTTAATGTGTAAGGACTAAAGAATAGATTATCTTTAAGTTATTCAATAAATTCGTCTCGACTTTTGTCTGTCAACCAGAACCTAAGACGTCATGTATGAGATAATATAAATTGGAGCAATCTAGACGTCAATATATGACGTTAAAGAATACCTTTAGTTTCTTAAATTTATTCTCACTTATAATTTAAAATGTTATATTTTAATCATCAAGTTATCCCAACTATGTACTAGAAAAAAAAAAGCTTTCCCAGTGATAAATTGATGTAATGTAACTTTATTGTTAAATATTTTATAGATAATAATTTATTATTATTATCATTTTGTTTAACAGGTAAGTAATGTTATCACGAATTGAACTACATTCTTATGTCTTCTGCTCCTAAAAGAAGGTAGATATTTTAAATACTACGGAAAGCATCACATTCTTTTTGGGAAGGAAGAAACAGTTCTTAAATATTTACAAATCAACATTTATCTTCGCATTAACTACCAATAAAAATTTGATATTTTTCAATTTAAAAATATATATATCTTTTCTGCATTTTTTAACCATCAAGTGTGGACCTAAATCCAAATTGTAAAGAAGAAAATATACAGGGCACTGATAGCGGCAGGGGCAGCACACAAGCCCTACCCTCAACAAAGATACTGATTGCATGCAATTTCTGACATCCTTCAACTCGAGGACGACACGTGTCGAAATATTAAAACATTATTGGGTAAAATAATGTACACGTGTCCACAGGGTAACATGCAGTCATGTGGATGCCATTACCAGACGACATCCATCCATCTCCCGATCCACTTGCAGTTCTCTGCCCCTCCTCCCTTTTTTTCTCTCTTTATTTCTTTACTAACTAAATTCTTATCAATCTTCTATTTTATTCATTGCAAAATTTGTTCCAAAAATCAAATTATGTTGTATAATTTAACATATTACTATTTTCTATGACCTCCTTCACGTTCTTTTTTTAAAATTTAAATAACCATGTCATTGTTGTTGATTTAATATATTTATTGTTAATGTCTTGATCGATTTTTTTTAAATAGATATGTTTTTAATTTTAACTACGATTTTGAGTAGTTTGATGAATTTTATTTAATTGGAACGGAGTAGAGTTAATTTTTAATAATAAAAAACGCCAACTTATGAAAAGAAAAAAAAAAGCCACCGAAATTGAATAGGGGATTTGATTAAGATAAAGTTAGTAATTTGAATGCAAACGAAGAAATAGAAAGATCGAATTAAAATCTTATTTCAGCTCTTGAATTTTTTATACTTATCCCATTTTAATTTCTCTCTCAAATATTTTTGTTTCTATGTTAAAAACACTATTTTAATATTTTTATTATCTTTTTAAGAAAAGTCAAACTTGTTTCAAAACTCAATACCTTACCTATCATAAATACCTGTCTACATATGAGAATGAAGACAAAATTTTAAAATAAAAGTAAGTGTTTGAAAGTAAAAACATACAATTTCAATTTTCAAACTTTAGGTAGGAAAAATAAAATTTGAACCTTTGAAATAATAATAATAATAAAAAAAGTATAAAGTGGAAACAGCGTAATGAAATATATAAGGTGAAAGTTAAATATTTGAGTGGAGAAGGGAAATAAAAGAAAGGTAGTATTTTATTTTTCTTCTTTTTTGGAGGTAATTAATTGCTGGTCTGGTTAAAGAAAGTGGGGAATGAAAAAAGCCAAAAGAAGAGGCGGGAATTGTCTTATATGAACAATGAGTCAAAAGAAATGACTACTCACATCAAAAACACC